TTGTGCCATTTTGGTGTTCTGATGTAGGTATCTTCCGCTATGGGAATGCTATGTACCTTGGCTAAATCAAACATATCAGAGTGCCTTATAATCGGAACAACTGTCATTATACAATGATTACACGTCTCATTTTCTCCACACCCATCCATGACTCTAATCGTTAGTGGATGGGATTTCAACAGAGTCAATAATTCTTGCATGGTTGTTATATATATTGGGGGTTTGTTTTCAGCCTCAATAATTTTTCTCAATGCAATATCTACATAGTCTTCGTAGTACAGATTACTGGGATATTGGAAACGGTGTACCCTGTCAATGTCCTGCAACATCAAATTCACTGTGTCAGATGCTTGAGTCAATTCTAGTCCCAAACTAAGTAGTATAAACCATTGTTTGGTAGTATTTCTTGTGTTGTAATTTAAATTGTTAGCCAATTTCAAAGCCGTTCTCAGAACCTTGCTTGTTTTTGCATTGAAGTTTAGGGACGTTAGTAATTGCACCCGTTTTTGTTGAATCACGGTGCTAGTCACTTCGTCTTTTCTTTGATGTATTACAGGGATCATTCCCATAAACAGAGCATCTGTTGGAAAGTTTCTAGGTTCTGTTTTCATACGATACTTCAGGCTTTTTATTTGGTCTTCAAATATCTGATATTTTGCCTTCATGATACTAAAAGTTGCATCTCTCACAATATTTTCCTTTCCATCTATATCTTTTTCTGTATACTTGGAAACCTTGTCTAAGATTTTGTCTGATTTTTCCACAAATTCTGCTATATCTATTGAAGATTCTAAAGTCCAATAGTTACTGGGTACACAGACAGGATACATCGCTTCCGTTACGACTCCAAAACTTCCAGGGAAGTTTCTAATTGGGGAGACTTTATCAAACCGATTAAGGTTAGACAAAGTTCCTTTGTCGTTCGCGGGGATCTCTTGTATTGTGAGGGAAGACACCATCAAGAATAAAGTACACATACACAGGATCCAATATTTTCTATACATTTTCACTTTTCAGTTGTTTCAACCATGTAGTCATATTAACGACCACAACACCCTTCACTTTACGCGTGACCCTTTTAAGCTAATGTATTTCCGCTACGCTTGGCTGCGCCTGGCGCGCTAGCAATTATATTTCCCAATCCCGTTGTTGACGGAATTCTTTCTCAACCGCGCTCACGCTTCCTTCCTTTAAAGAAACGAAGCGTGACGTCCCCGATCCGAATCGGCTCTCTATGCGCGTCCCGTGGCCGTGGCCGGCCGAGGCTATATATACAGGTGCAGTTTATGTTGCTTTAAGTTGATCGCACCAGACCTTGTCCGAACGCTGACTCTACGCCGCTTTGCTCTGTAGAACGTATTGCTATCGACTGTGTGTGAAGATTCAGCTGAGGCTATATATACAGGTGCATTTTATGTTGCTTTAAGTTGATCGCACCAGACCTTGTCCGAACGCTGACTCTACGCCGCTTTGCTCTGTAGAACGTATTGTTATCGACTGTGTGTGAAGATTAATAAATATCATTTTGAAATACTCTCACGGAGTAGCTTTTGCGTTTCCTTCGAAAGTCGCGGAAAACGATTTAAATCTCCGATCCCCTTTTTCCTTTAATTATTAGAAAGAGTCCACAACGATTGATCATCGCTGTTTCCTCATTCGTAAAATAGTTTTTGGATAACAGTTAATTAGAAACCTTTTTGAAAACAAAGTTGCAGGTCCTGAGTGTAACTATTGATTATATTCTTGGAACATACGAGGATTGGGACGAAAGTTTGGAGGCTTTTTGAAATAGATCAAATGGAGTTCCAACGATTCCAAAAAATTTTTTACTCTTAGCATAGCTAAATCATATGGTAACACTTCCATGCTGTTGAACATACTCTCCGCCGATTCAATGCATTTTTGTCATGCCATAAATCGAACAATCCAAATAGTAAAACATTTCAAATTATTTTAGTGGATGAGACACCCTGTGACTTCCGGTTGTTTCCGACGGTGAAGCACGATGACTTGAAAGGGATCGATTTTAAGGATATGTACAGTTTCATTTCCGCTGTCAAATGCAGTAGCAACTTTATCAAGTAACGGAACTTTATTTTCGGCATTTTTAATTCATCGCATGAAAAAATGCATTGAAATCGTTGAAGAGCACTGAAAAGTTGACAAATAATGGGGCTAGGCGTGTGAATTTGTTGGAACTATTGAAATTCCGTTGGATCCTTTTGAAGAAGTATCAAAACTTATGAACCAACTCTTGTATTGCTAGATGGGATTTATTTTTGAGTAGGGTTTGAATTCAAAGCAGTTCCGACGAATACAGTAGTACTTTGGGCTATGCTATGACATTTTTGAAGAAACGCAGTAGAATGTTTGCATATGGTCTATTTGTTAGTCGGATATTTCATCACTAAATCAGATACTTGGCATTCGGTTATTCACATTTAGTATATTGATCAACCAAAGTCTTAAAACAAATGGGTAAAAAATTATCATCACCTTCGAAAATTTCTGAATGATCATCCATAAACGCTCAGAGCCCTCAGCAAACTTTTGAACCTCCTCCGGATTTTCTGGATCATGAAGAGCATCGATCTCAATCACGGGAATGTTATTTTCAGGATCTGAGATAGACTCTCTCAAACCACGAATTATTATCTCCAGCGACGTCTGACTCCTTTTTCTTCGGTTGACCGCATCTCTCGAGTAACTAAATCTGCCAATTCGAAATGAAGAAATATATCGACCGTCGTTATGTATACGGGCTTTCCTCCCATTTCTTGATTCCGTGAAAATTATTCAAGGATGAAGAGCTATTCGGCGAAATTCAGCATAATTTCAGCTCAAAAACCAAGCAAGTGACTGCGTCAAAAGTGTCAAATTAGAATTCATCCTCATTTTAATCTAAACCCACCCAAACCCTGTCTACGATCTCAATCTGATACACAAATATTTTAGTCGAGTAAACCTCAGGATTAAAAAACCTGATCATGCAAGAAATTTCAATGAATTTAGAAGAAAAGCGGATTAGTCATTTCATTTGTTCGAAAGGTGGCTCACACAATCGGCATGCAAATCAGTTCGGATTTCATCTCTTCGCTCGATGATTTTCTGTTTATACATAAAAAAAATTCTGATCGACCGTGGATTAATTCTTGTCAGCGAAATGACTCCTGATTTATAAGGTAATGGAATCCTTCGCCAAAGATGTTCACCAAAAGCCAGAAAAAACCTATCGCTCAGCTTTTCGAATTGAAAAACAGAATGTGGTGGAATACTTTTTTTCTCTGCACCACCATTTTGAGAAAAATCCGTGGGAAATCTGTAGTTTCCTAGTCGGAGTTTTTCGCAAAAAATTCCGATCAATTGGATGAAGTTTTGCCTAGTCAAAAAAAATGTTAAGCCCTCAATGATTATTTCACTAAAATGTCCCCCAAGAGCCGAAAAACTCATAGCCCTGCTTTCAGAATTTAAAAAGTTGACTCCTTTTAACTTATTATGAATTTTCCACCAAAACTGGTCGAACATGTTGAAAACTTTCCAGAAAAAAAAAATGGAAGCACGTTCGGATTCGGGTGGATTGATATTTGATCAAGTAGACGCTCTTGCCTGGTCAAGACGATTGCCAAATTATCAATGATTCCCTTGCCAAAAATTTCCACAAAAAGCCGGAAAAACTCAGCATCTTCTTTGTCGAATCTCGGAGACGCGGAATTCTTCACCCAGATGAAAGCGTGAACGATTTTCTCGCGCCGAATTTCGTCGACGAAAGCTCTCCTGAAATCCGAGTCCCGACCTTTAGCATCTCCGTGTCCAGGTGTGTCGACGATTCGGATCCTCCTATCCTCCACATTTCCATTGATGTTGTTGTTGTTTATCTTTAAAGAGTCCATTCCGAGCCAAAAACCGTCGATTGACGCAGTGTGTAAAGTGCAACTTTCCGCTGTTGGGCTGGTTTCGAAGAGCTTTTGCTGGTCGTCTGATTGATCAAGACCCAGTAAGGCATTGCCAAGTGTGGACTTACCTGTGCCTGTCATTCCCACCAGCACAATTTTCTTCATTGCAAATAATTTTTCTGCTCAGTCCCTAGAATAGAAAATATTTATTCGAACATGTTGTGAGGGAAAGCTTCGTTCCAGCTAGATCTGAAATGCGGAGACACGACAAATAAGCAAATGAACTTATGAATTACTGTAAATAGTTCGAAGAATTTTCCAGCATTACTAGGAATTTAATTTTTTTGCAGATTTTCGAGCGTGAATGCCTAGATAATGAAAATCAAATTTTCATATTCTTGAATACGCTGCGTGAGATTTTTAAATTTTCAGGACTTCTCAATTTCCGCCGGAATTAATAACGGCATATAAAGTGTAAATTTCCTAATAATACGATTTATCAAAATGAGGGCATAGATGAAATAATTCAAGATCTTTTCGCCTATGACCTTGAAATCAATGCCGCTACGCAGTTAATCCACCGCTTGCATTTTTCGCAATCGTAAGTGTTCACGCAGAAAATTTCAGCATATTCGAAATGCCACGTCACAAACATTTCCTACGAACACACGCAAGAAAATTTATTCTTCTCGCTAACAACCCGAGGTTCGGAAAACAACTGAGAAATTTGGCCATATTCCAAGGAAAAGTCGGAAACTAGGCAGGAAAAACAGGATTTTTCTTGGTCAACTCGCCACAAGAAACACGAGGTTCAACTCACGCGATAATTATTCCTTCCCAAAGGAAACATGTTATTCCTTCTCACGTGAAAAAAAAAAATTTAATTTTATCAGAAGTGGTCGGAAAAAAAATTAATTTCGAGCAAGCGATAGAAGCAAACCAAGCCCAAAAATTCCGTTCAAAATTAAAAGAATACCGTATTTACAAATCCGTCAAGACATTGATATCAGTTCGCATTCCTTGAAATAAAGTACAGTATTCCCCGTTCCTCAAAAAAAATTAAAGGAAGAGATTCAAACGAAACTTCTTCTTGAATCCCGTTCATTTGTCAAATGTCAACAGCTTTCGTGGGAAGAAAATGTGTACATCGGACTGCTATTCCAACGAATTTCATCTCCATTCTTGCCTTTTCACATTCATGCCCAGTTTCCGGATTAACGGACTTACGGTGTATAGTATTTATTCAAAACCCATTCATCTCGCTGGAAATTCGGGAGAAGAAAGGCAGATCAGTTCTAGAAATAGTTGAGAGTGAACGCAAACATATTTTGGTAAAAGGCTGAAGAAAATTTGGGATTTCCGTTGATTGTATTGCAATGCAGAATGCTGCAACAATTACTGTGCTGTCAATTGTGATTCATTGTGTTTTCAGTCGGGACGTTCATGCTCAAAACACAGGTAAAGACATAATATTCTTCCTTATGAAAGCGGAATTAGAATGCTAATATTATTTGAGGAAGTCCCTTTATTTATTCTTCAGTGTTATTGAATCATGACAAAAGATGGTTTCTGTGGACAAAAGCATCTCCCAACTTCTGCAGCAAAGTGGATTACGAGAGTGAGTCATCATTTATAAAATTTATTAGTTTAATAACCTGACGATGCTCGATTAGGGCAGATCTATGCTAAATTGCCAGAATCTGCTTGTCAAAATGCCATGTGTTGCTCAAAAGGGTTCAGATATTATTTGTCTCTCAATGCCTTTACTGATAAAAGCCACAAACCGAATAAAGTGTGTCCAAAGAAAACTATATTCTGCAATAAAATTCAATTTAAATACTTGTCACACTTTAGGACGGGATACTGTACCAACAAAGAACCATATCAAGACGCAGATATAATTTCTTCTGGAAATGTGCCCATGTGCTGGAAAACCTGAATTTCAGATCATATATCCCAAAATGGAAAGATTTATAGTCAGGTATTTTTTGCAGAAATTAGAAAAAGTCCCTTAACAAACAATAAAAATATTTCTGTCAACTTTAAAACACAGAAAAATTTACTTTGCAGAATACATAACCATGCAAAATCTCTTTTTGAGATGAAGAGGATCCCTATTGAAAACAAAAAAACAAGAACATTACACAGTTGACGTATAAAGACTAATAAATGAGCAAAATTATCCTATTTATGAAAATGAATTAAAAACAATTATGATCAGATTTATGTTCATAAATTCAAAAACAATATTTAAAATTTTCTCGAAATTTTGTTAAAGTGTCCTTATTTTGAAACATCATCGCAATTTCCCCCCGATTAAAGTGACCATAAGTTTTTTTGTAAGAATATTGGGGCGTCCATATGTTGGGGTTTCGATGTGCTGGGATGTTCTTGCGTTTGTCCTCGATTTACTGTATAGGCTTTAGAATATAGTGCCACTTTATGAAAATTCCAATTGAATTTCTCCACACACAAAAAATTTTCAGTGGACGCAGAAGAAGCTTTTCCGCTGGATGTGTTCCCACCAGATCTGGTCTTGACAACTTGGACAATCCCAAATGAAGCCTCAGAAAGTTTAGAAGAAGACGTCAAGTCTCTCGTTTGGAGACTCAACTCGACAATAATCAACCAACACTTGTATGACATGGACTATCTCTTTGCTTATGAATTTGTTCAACATAGTCCAGGAAAGGCTGATGGAGTCAAAGGACTGGTGGAATTCTACACTGCCATAGATCCATTTATTTACTCTTACCAACCAGTGGTCGAACTTTACGAAGGGCCATTTGCAGGTGATTTAAAAAAAAACATTCCCAAGTGAAGATTCTGTGAGATTCTAAACTATTGAATTAATGTCTATACCAATGGAGTGTCTATACCAATGGAATGGATTTCCTGATTAATGTTAAAAACCCGTCCAGGATTTTCATTCAAAATAAAACCAATAAAAATGCAGGCCCGGTCTCAAAATTTGACCCAATATAGTTGCACATATTGTGCTTATCTACTTAATCCTTGAATTTTGTCAAAACTACTACCCATGCATTAAATTAAAAAAAAATCCAGTTCACGCTTGTGAACTAGACACCACAGGGTATTTATTCTTGCTCTTATCTAATTGCAGAAAATTCCAAAAATAGCTACACTTTTTTCAACTGCAATTAGAAAAGGCCGTTCGTTTTTCTTCAAGTTGAAGAGCCTAAATATGTGTTATGCAGATACCACTCAAATGATTTCACTTGATTTTTTTAAATTTCTTGAAAAGTAATAATTTTTTGACGATGCCCGCAGTTATTTTCTCCAAGCAAATATTTTCGAAAGCCGGGCCTCAAGCAGTGGTTGACATTTATTTGGCGAAAGATTCCAAGCTGGCTGAACATTGGGATGTTGTCAGGTCTGAACCTGTGAAGGTGAGGGGCTTTTCAAATTTGAAAAAAGGATTTTATACCTCGAAGGAAAATCGAAAGCATCCTGTCCGCTGAAGAGCGCAAGAAAGACAGAAAAACAAGTTTTCTAGGACCCAGTTATAATCATTTTAAAGATTTTATTTTTGCAAATGTAACTTGGATGTTTAGAATAGATGATGATACTTGAAAGTAAAACTTGCGTTTTTGGATTCGTGAAGTTAATTTCAAGTTGACAAAATGACCACATGGACAAAATGTGAGACGAAACTTCGTTAATGAAATCTCAAAAAGTTTCCTCGGTTCTCAGCTTGTTACAGTTAAATCAAGAAAATTTATCTTTCTGATTTCAAAGGCAAAGCCTCTTCGATAAATTCCCAGTACTGCACACATTATTTTCAAATTTCTGAAATATTTGACGCTTAGTAATTTTTCGTTTCGAAAGGGACCAAACCGCTCAGGTAGAAGCTTGTTTGAAGTTTCTCTGCCCCAAATGCCAACAACTGCAGAAGAACGACGAAAAAACAAGGAAATAGCCGTGAATGCCATCAATGGATACAGAAACATGAAATCAAAAGAAGCTGTCAATCATTTCTTCAGCAAAGACTTGGTACAACACAGTATTGGCAGTGCTGATGGTACTGGTTCACTCGTCACTGGATTCTCCGGATCAACCGACGTGAAGGTTTGCAAATAAACTCGAGACTTTTCCACTGCAAAAAAAAAATCTGGGTTTCTTCTAGGTTTCTTAAAAAAATTTCAGGTTTTTCTTCAACAGAGGCATCCACGGGGAACCATAAAATCAGAATTTCTTTCAAATTGGAACATATCTTAAATTTATTCACCTGCTTTCTTTCACACTGGAAAAATTTGATTAATATAAAAAGCATTTATTAATTTGAAATGGTATGACCAGCATGGGCACTACAAATCAAAGTAAATTACTTGCCTCGAGACTGATGGAGTTATTACAAATGTTGTCCTTGTTTTGCGTGCCTTCCAAATAACAGTTCATACCTGCTCAAATAAATTTTGTCAATTTTGAGCTATATTTCGGGGGAAACCAAAAATGTAAAAAAATTGCTGATTTTTGATTGGGATGGAATTTGAAGATTTTGGCAACGACGGATTTCAGCCTTGCTGTCCTAGTTCAGCGTACCCTCAGAGAAACAAAGAAAATTACTGTACTCTGCTTTCGTTAATTTTCTTTCAAGTAATAAATCGAAGCAGAATTAATTTTTAAAATACGACATCTGAAGTCATTCAGGTGTTGATATTTGAAAATCATTGCAAATTTTCCGAGCTATATATTTTAACATATTAGCGGTAGAATATTGAAAATGCGTAAATTTTCAATTGAGGGATTTGAATAATTTTTTTTTCTCCAGGTTGATATTAAAATAGTCGTTGCTTCCGGGGATCTGGTAGCAGTGTACAGCAAAGTGGACCTGAAATTCAGCGGAAATCCGGTATCATTCGCACTTATGGACATCTTCAGGATTTTTGGATGCAAAATCACGGAACATTGGTCCATCAACGAACCGCTTCCAAAGGGAATGAAAAATTACAAAAACTCGAACGGACCGTTTTAACGCAAATAAAATATCGAGGCTGAGAATTACTTCTCAAATAAAAAAGACCTCCTTAAATTTTTTGTTGTTGCCAGAATAAGAAAATCTTGTGCGTCTCTCAAAGTCCATGTTTTCTTCACGAATGTCAGAAGCAAAAGTTTTTTTTGCGCACGAAGCCGCGTCGTTTCAGCGCGTATCAAAAGGAGAATTAAAACCAAAATGCTTTTCTCGCAATTCCCTCGGAAATCCCACTCGTAGGAATTACGAGTTTACGACTTCACTTCCCGGGTTCTCTCGGGCTTCATCTTCAAAGGAATGCTGCATATTATTTATTCAAGTCTTCCGCAAAATTTTCGCTTTTTTTTTCGCACTGTTGCCAAGCGGAATGCGGCCTGAGTTCGTGCTGATGCAACCGGGTTAATCCTTTATCCTCAGCCACCTAATTCTCAAGCAAAGCTGAAGGCAATATTTTAATTGTTTCCATTTTTCTCGAAAACTCAGCGAATAATAAACTTGAAAACCAGAAATATTTTTTTTCTTTTTGAATTACCCAACAATTTTCTTTTGCGAAGTCTCCAACATTTTTTCCAGAAAAAATCTGGTTTCAGGACATGAAACTGAATCCTGAGACCAGTCATTTGAGAACTACAGTACGTCAAAACTTGAACAATAAAAATGACAGTAACAATAAAAGCATAATGAAATGTCATATGTAGAATATTTCACGCAAATTTTGTGGTATAACTTCTATATGTTATTTATAATCGCAAGTTCCTCAGATCACACATGAAAAAAAGACAAGGAAAATGTTGTCAACTGCAGGCACATTGAGGCAAAACCGACTTCTGAATTGATTTCTGAAATTTGCTAGATTTCTCCTCATTCCATCACCTCAACCCTGTTTTGGTGAAGATCCGTGAGAGCTTTTAGACAGGTGACAAGAGACAATTTCTCTACGATTTCAGAATGTGCTACTTAATGGTGACATACATGTGAGAAGGCTAATTTTAGCAATAATTATGAAGCAGAGGGTTGTTTAATGGATGCGTGGACGAATAGCACTTGAAACAGATGACCACTCAGAACAGAATCTTCTTATTTGAGTTAGCCAAATAAGAGGAACCCCGAGGAATTTCTCTTTCACTTTGTGTGTGTTTAGGTATGCTAATTACAGTCACAGGAGCGAAGTCAATCTTCTGACACTTCTCAAGGTTGAGCTTTGGAACGTTAATCTCTGTTCTATGGAAACACTTTGGGACAGACTCACCATGAAGGTGCAGTAGTTTAGTTCATTTTTCTAAGACATTTTTGTTAAATGTTTGGCAAGTAAGTTCCCAATTGCTGATCTTGATTAATTTCTCGTTATTAACACTTCTGAATCAACTTTTAATGTTAATTCCTCCGGAATGATTTTTTGCGACATTTTCCATGATTTTATGCACAGAGGCGAAGTAATTTAAGAATCAGATATTGGCTGATCCAGTGAGCCTGAAATTTGTGATAGATGTCACTCTTTTGACCAATTTTTCAAACAAAGTTCCCTAAAGAAAAGAATTGGAATGGTTTCACCTAAGTTTACTAAAGTCCGGTTTATTAACATTACAATGGAGCAAAATTGTGTTTATGAATCAAGACTCCACTGTTCCAATTTTTCACAGATTTTTGGTTTGAAAATAATTCCTATTTTTGTGCGCATCTTTTGATGCAGTGATTTATTTTCTTGAATCAGTCATTGACTGATTCAGTTACAAGAAAATGTATACAAAGATTCTCTACAATGACCTTGTCTGCAAAAATTTTCTCTGTGCAACAATTTTGGTCCCATGAATGTCTCAGCCCATATTTGCAGTCAACATTCATTCAGACCCCCACCAATAAGCTGCCACCCTTGAAAAATCCAATTCATAAAAACTTTTTCTGATGATAAATTCATTTTGAGCCTGTTAAAACATCATCTGTCATATGAAAAATGATTCAAAACTCAGATGTGCTCCTGCCAAGTAATTTTGTTGAGGACACTCAACATAAAGATTGAATCACAGCGCAGTGGAAAAATGATAAGGCAGGGCAATCAGCCTTTTAATTAGGCCAAGAACACATATTCAAGAGGACCTTGAATATGTGTTCCTTAGTTTTGAACTTTATTTTTCATGCATTTTTAAAATCACAAGTCAGGAATTAAATGCAAGAAAACACAATACCAAATTTGTGCACAAATTGGATTAGGAATATATAGTAATGGGATAATGACAATAATATAATTCACCAGAATAAAATGTAAGTGTAATAAGAAAATAATGCTGAACTACTTCATGCAAGTTTTAACCTTCACTGGCTTCCTTTTGAAACCAGTGGAAACCTCAACTACAGTTTCCTCTTTGAACCCTAGTTCTTGTTTGCCCAACATAGGGCATTGTCCTACAATGCTTTTTTTTATTGGTCCCCGGAATTTTGTTGTAGAGAGAGTTTCCTTATACATGGTACAGTATTTCAATTTCCTCATCCAGGATAAATTACCCACACGAGTGCTGAGGGGGGGTTTCTTCCATTGCATTTTCACACACACACCCCCCTCAGCAGCCAGCTGGTGCTGCTGTTGCTTCAGTCCTGTTGTGCCCCAGAGGGAAAAAATTCAAGGAAGAAAGCAAGCAAAGCCAGGGGCAACCCCTGGCTCGCTTTCCCCCCCGCATTCCCCACTCCTCCCACCCAACTCTCCCTGTTCCTCCCCTGTCGGGAAAACTGTGAAGTGACACCCCAGGGGGGGCCACCCCGAACCCTGGTAAAGTTGCCTGCGCATTCTCAGTGCAACGAGTAGAAACCCGCGACTGCCGGGGCGTCAGGTGCAGCGTCAGTGTCGACTTTCCCTTCGCGCTGTCGACAGTGACAGTGTGTCGTGTGTGTGGCGATTCGCGGAAGCCTTTTTCTGTCAGTATATATATACAGTATCTAATGTGTGTGTGTGTGTGTGTGTGTGTGTGTGGAGCGTGTCTGAAATCGTGACTGGGTGTCGAGCTTACGTATATATCCTGATGTAAAGTTTGATTTTGGGTGCGGTTTTGTATCCGTCGTGAATTTGCGAAGAAAATGCGCGATCCCGTGAAAAGTTCAGCAAAAAAAGTTTGGGGCTCCTTCAGACTTGGTACAATTTTGCGATACAACATCATGCTTTGTAACAAAAACAGTGTCTTTTATGAAAACAATCTTGTGTGAGACTTGTGGCGGAATAATTCGGTACGTTAAAGTACCATGAATCTATGCTCAATAATTGTTGATTAATCTCGAACATTCCAGACCTTTCTCAGGTTTTCCACAGCTTCAACCACCGCCATGTCATGGGAAGTTTCAGTACAGTCAATCCCAAGATTTCATAGTAGTCAGTGGAATTGTGTGTGCTCTG